TACACCTTAAATATATACATTAAAGAGTAAAAATTATTTAAAGATTGTAGAAAATTACATTTAGGGTGTTGAAGTTCTTAACTATATGTGTAGCTGCCAATCTTATTCTATCTTCCCTCACTATCCTATTTGTATTTTAACATTGACAGCCTTGCTGCTTAGAGGTAGTAGACCTTGATAAGTATAATACAAAACACAATGTTACCTTCGAATTTTCAGATGCCAATCCCACCAGTATGAAATCTGTAGACAAATCTTAATCTTTAGTTAGGCATACTTTTTATTTATATGTCCAAACCACAATAACCAATGAAGAATCCTAAGATATCATTTTAAAACCAATATATTACACAAAATATAAACAAGGAAAAAAAAAGAAGCAAAGAGGGATTTTAGAACCCACAAGAAAGAATATTGATTTTCAAATATTGACCTCAGCTAAAACCTTCTAACTGAGCAAAAAATATTTATTCATCTGGGGAAACATAGAGGAGAGTTGATTACATTGTTAAGTTGCTGTAATTACACAGATAAGTATTTGAAATATAAAACACCTGTGGGAATAGAGAAGCGAACCTTGTTGTTATTACAAAATTGATCTCTTAAAAGCAAAAGTGTTGTCATCTCCTGAAATGTGGTCTGATAGACCCAGCAAAGCATTCCGAGCCAACAGCCTCGGTTGTTGTCATGGCTCTGCCCTGGTGTTCTAAATATAGCATTGAGATTCATTGTTTCTTGTCTTCTCCATCTGAAAAATTGGAATGATAAATAAGGTTACAGTAGCTTACACCTCTCTTTGGGGGAATAAAGTGTTTACTCCGTGGAAAGAACCTTTACCCCACAGAGGTAACGTCGCTGTTTTTAGCTTTCCAGTAGCGTCCAATGAAAGTGCTAACTAGTTCCCCCAAACATTTCTCTGTATTTATTTTCCTTTGTTTTTTGTGCCTCCTCAGCTCTGATTGCTCTTTTGAGAGAAGGGGAGAGCCTGGAGGATTTGATGAAACTCTCCCCTGAAGAGCTCCTGCTGAGGTGGGCTAATTACCACCTGGAAAATGCGGGCTGCAACAAAATCGGCAACTTCAGTACTGACATCAAGGTAGGAGGATTGTCATTTGAACACGACTGACTGCAGCAATGAAGGGGAATTTGGGCGTTCATGGAGAAAAGACAAACATGTGGGCCTCGTCTCTTCAGAAGCTGGGTTAGTCTGGGGCCGTTTTGGAGCTGCTCGTCTAAAGGGCCCGTCTGCAGCTCCAGTGCTGGGCCACACACAGATCTGCCCGAAGTCCTAGTGCGGCATTGAAGGGAGGTGGGTCTCACTTGTAGTTTCAACATCAGGATGTAGAGGGACAAGGGTAAGACAGACGAAGGGCGACAGATCAGATTGCTTTTCTGGTAAAGAAAGTATATATAGGACTGTAATGTCTCTGGTTTTATCAATGCGAGCATCAGATGGGTATGCTTTTAAAAACTTAGATGAAGATGACTCTTTTAATTACACTAATAATAGCAAATGTGATGTTGGCTACCTGCCAGGCACTGTTTTATACATGCATTCTCTCATTGAATCCTCACAACAACCCCATAAGGTAAGGATTATTCTCCTCTCATTTTACAGATAAGGAAACTGAGACAAAGAGATCCCCAAGGGGAAAGGCTGAGGCAGGCATACACTGTAGATTTCAAGTTTATGAAAAGTTCCATGTCAAGGTGAAAGGAAACTGCTGTTGGTGTTGATGACAGACGGACCAAGATATCATAGAAAGAGCTTACGGAGCAGCAGCAATGTCAGAAAGCAGTCCCTAGTAGGAAAGGGTGCAAGATGCTGGGATGCAACGTGAGGAAAATATTTCAGTCTTCACTTTCTCAAAAGCTAAAGAAAATTTCCCCAAAGAGAGTCCGAGCAAAGGTCATGTGACTCACCAAGAGCCCACCCAGGCCTGTAATTCTTTGAGTAGCAGCTTCCTGCTGCCGGACCACGTGCATTCAGTGGGATCTGGCACTCAGGGTGTGCCCGGCACTGTGCCTGTTAGAGCCAGGCTTCTAGATGGGACACCCCTGGGCATTAGGACCTAAGCTGAGTTCATCTTTCTAACCACACGGCTTTCACCGGTTATGAACATTCTTCCAGCACCACCAACACACTGGGGTTTGACAGGAGCTGGATGTCATCATCTTGCTCTGTGCTCAGCAGTGAAGCTCTGTTATTGTAAAACGTTTCGGCCAAAATTAGGCTGCTTTATCTCAACCATAAGTTTATCTGATTTCCAATCACTAAAAAGCTGTTCTTTAGAAAAGTAACCATTTTCGACTTTGGGAAGTATCTGTGCGAGATAGGAACTGGCAAGCTAAGCACGTATACAGTGGTTGTGCCTGTTTTCCGTTTGTGGCTGCATCCGACTGAGTCAGTGCTGTAATGTGAGGTCTGAGTAGCCAGCACCTTTGGGAGATGTCTTTATAGCACATAAAATCAGCAAAGGTGGGGAGAATGCCTATACTAGAGTGAGTGAGAAAGGTTTATTAGAGGCAGGTGAAATGAGGTGACTCTTAGCCAAGCTAATAAGATATAACACGTGATAGGCAGATTTTATTGGTGCCTAATACCTGCATGGAACTTTCACTGACTTCAAAACAGCTGCAGTGAAAAGTAGGGGAAGGTAGAAAGAAAAGAGAAGATCAGTTTTCCCAGGTGCAATATGAATGGCTTGCACTCTCTCGTTCTTTCTAATGCCGAAAGTGGTGAGCATACCTCTCCTCTGCCCACACCCTGCCCAGTTTTAAAAAGAAAGTAACAGCTGATTTTTCAATCTTTAAGAGAAATTACGATGCTTTAAAATAATTTAAATTAATTATCTGAAAATCTGTATGCTTTCATTGACTGAGAAAAAAATTTGTGTTTTTAAGACTATGATTCTTAGAAGTCTTTTTGTCAGTAAGCATATTTCCAGAAGCTAAGATAACTTGAGAATTTCAATACCTATGTTCCATCTGCTATAACTAAATTTAACCATTTTTTTCTAGCTTCTAAATAAACATTAAATGCACTTGTCATCTTAATATTTCTCCTTTTGCATAAAGATTGCTTGTTAACGCTTCAACCTTCTGTTTTTGAAATCTTAATTTTTCTTTTGCTGATTGTCTATTTAAATGTATTTTTAAACTCTGCTTTAAACTTCTGCTTCCTCTTTCTGTCACTTTTTTTTAAATTAAACCTTAGCTGACTGACTTCTACAGCAATATAAAGGTATATATATACATATTTTTTTCTGTATAGAATTTAATACATGAAAATAAGTTGTTTCTCTCCCCTAAGGACAACAGAATAATATTTGCTCCTTTGGGTTGCTTTTTGTGTATATCTTGTATTTTTAATTGTTATATTCCCTTTAAAAAGAAAAGCAAATATAATATGTAAACAGACAAACAGATCATTCAAATCAGTGAATGTCTGTAGCTTCGTTAATTAAGTTACATTCTTGAATGATAGTTGAATAAGAAACAGAATGTTTGCTTTTGGGAAATTATTATTGTGCTAAGCATGTAATTAGCTGTGCTGTTTTGAAATTGTAATTTCTTAATTTCTCACAGGACTCAAAAGCTTATTACCACCTGCTTGAGCAGGTGGCTCCGAAAGGAGATGAAGAAGGTGTTCCTGCGGTTGTTATTGACATGTCAGGACTGAGGGTAAGGCCACGTCCCTAGCTGTGTTTAGAGAGCTTGGTGCTGCCTTCGTGCTGGCAGTTCATTTGCTCCACGTGACGCTGGCTCTGGCGTTCCACGAGTGGGCATTTCTGCCCAAAGCCTTGTTAAAACTGTTAACAGTTATGGATAATATTATGGATAATAATTGATGGAAACTGAATCTGGAAATAAAACATTAAAGAAAGGAATTAATACTAATTAAATGCCACGCAGCATGCTAGCACTTCAATGTGTCCATCATTGAACATTTAATAACCTGTGTGACACCAACATGGGGGTGAATGTTAAAACTTCAGTTCTCCTGCCGCTTTAATATTGATCTTGAGAAGTCACCTTACCCGTGTTTGTGCCTCATTTAATATCACTGGAGTTAAATCCAATGAGTTAATGTTGAAGTCAACTCATTCCTAATGAGAAGTAAAGTAAACGTAAATGAGAAGTAAAGCTCATGAAATGTATAATGCGTAGTGTTATCTAGGAAAGCATCAGTCATATTAAGAAATAATTCTAGTTTAAAGTTCTGTTTTCTGAAAATTGGTGGTTTCATAGATTTTGAGGACAGTGGACCATATTTCAACAAAATTTTAGTCTTGTTATAAGAGTCTGCTTGTATATGACTGGAGATTCTCTAGAATTATTTGAGCATGTGAAATGAGTGGTTCTCAATCTGAAGTCTGCAAAATTCAGATTGATATTATATATTTATCAATGATAATGTGTAGTTAACTGATAAAATTTATTTTGTTTGGGTTGCGAGTACACCAACTCAGGGTGGGAAAAGTGGTCAACTAATCAGACGTTCTTATTGGCAGGTGAAAATATCTTTTATAATTGGAAATGGGAATATAAATTATTACTTAATAAATAAATATTTTTGATAGACAAAATCTCATGAAGTCTGTGCAAGAAAATAATATAAGGGAATCTTAATAGTTGGTAATAGTTAAGATCAACTCAAATGATGAGATTGTGGAATCTACTGAATCTCTTTCAAAACAGGGCAACAAACCATTCATCTGAAATGCTTCTGTAGAGAGATGAGAGGTCTTGATTACTTAACTTCTGAGATTCCTTTCACTTGTGATTTTCTGGTTTGGGTTCTGGTGCATATAAGCAATAATGTGCTGTTATGAAGTATCAACCTGAGATAAACACTAAGGATTTCAGTGAGATTCCCATTTCTTTTTCACATTATGCATATCTACCATGTGTGTGGAGAGCCTCGATCCAGCCTTGAGATGTCTTTTGTCATTGCAGGAGAAGGATGACATCCAGAGGGCGGAATGCATGTTGCAGCAGGCGGAGAGGCTGGGCTGCCGGCAGTTTGTCACAGCCACAGATGTTGTCCGAGGGAACCCCAAGTTGAACTTGGCTTTCATTGCCAATCTCTTTAACAGATACCCTGCCCTGCACAAACCAGAGAACCAGGATATCGACTGGGGGGCTCTTGAAGGTAACTCTAAACTAGTCGCTTATGATGTTTGAAAAAGCACTCACAATTCTAATTCAGTGGCAATTCAAAATCACTTTCTGAGCAAATACAAACCTCTCACACGTGCAAATAGACCATCAATTCTCTGGTATACAACAAAGAGAGTAAATAGATTCATCAAGTCAATTTACAGCCAAGCAGGAATAATCAAATACCATTATATTACATCCATTATACATAGGCTTCGTCCATTATCAGAATTAAATGTTTTAGGGAAGATAATGCACTTAATTATTGGATGAAATAAATCCTCAGTTCCAAAAACCTAATTTATGTACTTAATGGACCGTGTTAATTCCTAGAGGCAAGAATTGCCACCACTCACCATCTAAAAATAATATTTAACTTACGCTAGGATGTGCTTATTGAGTTTTTGTTTTTGTTGTGTGTCTTTGATTTGGATTATGGAGGACACAGAAAAGTATTTTGAGGCAGAATCCCTGACAGTTGTATTTTTCAGGTTAACATCCTACAATTCCACAAAAAGTATATAGATTTAGTCAGGTTCTACCAGGTAAAGGTGCCAGAGCTGTTTACTTTACTTTTTTTTCCATCATGAACTAATCCCAATATTGAGACAAAAAAAAAATAAAGTCAAAATTAATATCAAATGAATGTCACCCAAGCAACGAAATCCAGATTTAAAGCATTGGTTGATGTTTTTCCACAATGCTTTACTCTAGCTGGAAATGCAACATCAATCATTTTCCAACACTGCTGCATTTGTATCATTTGATAAATTATGGTCGGGGAGCCATGTATTTTGTTGACTCCCCAGTCTATATATCAAGCCCACTAATCACCCATTTCAGCTGTCTCTGGAATATTCCTGTTTGGATCCTTGGCTAGCATTTGAAATGCAGCATATATGTAATAAAACAGAATTGATCATTTCTTCCCCCTTCCCCACCATTGCCTTCCCACCCTACCTCCCATCCCATCTGTTCTCCTTTAGAAATTCTTCATTTCCATTAATCATACCATTTTTTCTTTAGTCCCCAAAACTGAAGACGTCAGGGTCTACTATGACATCTTACTCTCCTTCACCCCTAAATCTGTTAAATCAGCAAGTACTAATAATTCTTCCTTTGGAATGTCTTCAGGATTGTTATTTTTCCTTTCTGCTCTTTTGAACTCTTATTACCTCATACTCCAATTATTTTAATAGGTCTTAGGGGCCTATTCCTCCATTCATCAAACACTCGAATGTGTCCCATGTGCTAGTGCCAAACGCTGTCCCCTCTGCGTGTTTAATTCAAATGCATATTACCTTTCAGTAATTCTGCACACTACTGCCAGGCACGTCCCAGGACTGCTTTCATTATACCTCTGCCTTGCTCAAGAATTTATTATAGTAATAAAAAAAAACTCATAATGACTGCCATTGTCTAATATATCAACTAAAATATGCTACCTGGCATTCAGAGATGCCTGATTCTGGCTCCAGCCTCTAGACAACCTTATCTCTGCGTACTGTACACCACAGATCCCCGACAAATCAATTCCCGGTGCTCTTTGTAGAGACCTTGCCTATCATTCCCTTTGTGTGCATATTCACGCTCTCTCCTGCTCCTACCTCTTGCCATCTCCCTAAGTCCTCTGCTCTTTCCTCTTAACCGTCCAGATTTTGCTAGTCATACAAGGTAAAGCTCAAATCTCACCCCCTTCACATTTAGCCATTCAACTCTTTGCCCTGTCTCTACTCAAATGGCAAATATATCTGCCTCATATCTGAGTCCTCTAACTTGTGTGATCTCTGTTTGATGCCTAAAGTTCTTGTTTTTCCAGCAAGAACATAAGCTTTGGAGAGCCAACTGAACAGTTACCCCACACAGGATCTCACACGCTACTAATAGAAATACTTGTAGAATTGAAATGGAAAAAAAAAAAATTAACATAGAATAGTAGACTTTATGCAAATCCAATAGGGTTTATTTAATTTAGTTCTTTCACTCTACTTTGAGTTTTTATTGTGGCCTCTTTAGTTAAACTTTGATCATAAAAAAGGCATGTTTTCTGGGGGCTTAAAAGATAACCAGTCTTCATTAATCTAGGTGAGACAAGGGAAGAGAGGACGTTTAGGAACTGGATGAACTCCCTGGGCGTTAACCCTCGAGTCAATCATTTGTACAGGTAAGAATATTTGTGTACTCATTTTTAATGTGAGACAGAGACCTCGAAAGATCCATAGGATTTCAAATACTGCTACGATGTGCATTTTCTTCACAAAATGCACATGTATACCTTGATGAAAAGGGAGAAAGTACCAAATTGAGCTTCAGATGTTGTATGTTCAGCTGAGAAACTCACTTCCATGCACCAACTTTACTGGGTGCTTAATACAAAAATCATACCTCAGCCAAATGGCAAATTTACTATATGTCACAAACTTATGACCTGCTCACAAGCAGGCAAAACAGTGAATGTTGTTTGCAGTGAAGTGTCTCTTATGCCATTTGTTAAAGCCGTATTTCTTTCCCTGCAGGCAGCATATGTTGGCCAAAGAGGCACAGCTAGTCACATAGGCTGGGAGCTGTGGCTCATGCCTATAATCCTAGCACTCTGGAAAGTTGAGGCAGGAGGATTGCTTGAGCTTAGGAGTTCAAGACCAGCCTGAGCAAGAATGAGACCTCTGTCTCCACTAAAAATAGAAAAAATTAGCCAGGTGTGGTGGTGTGCGCCTGTAGTCCCAGCTACTCAGGAGGCTGAGGCAGGAGGATCGCTTGAGGCCAGGAGTTTGAGGTTGCTGTGAGCTAGGCTGACACCATGGACACTCTAGCCCATGCAACAGAGTGAGACTCTATCTCAAAAAAAAAAAAAAAAAAGTGAGAATAAATTCTGTAATTTCTGAGTTGTTTCATCACCTCTAAAGATGGAGCCACCACTTCCAGTTGTGCAGGGTGTTATGAATGTTCCTTGAGCTAATATAAGGAAGTGCGTGGCCCATTGTAGACCCTGAATAAATGTTGGATATCTGAGAATTCTTTTGTGTTTGTTTTGTTCAGTGACCTATCAGATGCCCTGGTCATCTTCCAGCTCTATGAAAAGATTAAAGTCCCTGTTGACTGGAACAGAGTAAACAAACCACCATACCCCAAACTAGGGGGCAATATGAAGAAGGTAAACAGTGACTATTGTGATGTTCCAAGAGGCAGGTGAAGTCAGAAGCCTGCAAGAGCTCTCTCTGAACATTTTGTGAGGTGGCCAAACTTACATAAGTAAGGTTTATCCAGGAATTAAACTGTAGTAAATAGTTTTATGAAAGTGAGTCCATTATTTCAGTCAATTACTTATTTATAATTCCATGTTGGATGTCTTTAAACATTATCATGTAAAAATTCTAATTAAGATAATTAGAGCAAGCAGAGCCACAGGGATTTTCACCTCGGCAGCATCCTCATTCTAATTTCTAAAGAATTGGAGCTTTGTACTGATAGCTTGACTTGTACAAATAGTTTCTCTACTGCCAACACGGTAGGAACATTGTTTTGAAGCAATAGGGCTGACACATTTCTCACCATTTTTTGTCTCTGTGACTCTTAATGATCCATGAGTAGCCACAGGAATATCTGTCCCACATGTTTGTTTCCTTTGTGAGCATAGGATAGAGAATCCAAATTTTCCATGTCAGTCTCCATGAATTCAGCTACTTCATAAATATTACAGACAGGTAACTAAGGATGGCTTTTTGTTTATGGAGTGTGATAGAGCCATGAAAATATTCATAATGAATTCGTTTTGGTTTTGTACTTAAGAGTACACTATGAATATTTTTGATATAAGGGAGGAGTTCTATTTAAGGAAAGATGGAAAATTCTATAATTTAGCATCCTAGAATTGCAGAGCCAGTTGAGACTTGAGAAATCATTCAGTCTGATCATATTTATTTCATTTCCTATCTTTATTTGTATTATTTTGTCTGGTAATTGAGATAACGACATTGAGTTGTTTTCCTTTCTGCTCATTAACAGTTGGAGAATTGTAACTATGCAGTGGAACTGGGGAAGAATCAAGCTAAGTTTTCCCTGGTTGGCATTGGTGGACAAGATCTCAATGAAGGAAACCGCACTCTAACGTTGGCCTTGATCTGGCAGCTAATGAGAAGGTAGTACAACTCATGGGGATTACTTTTTATTGAATAATTTATTTACTTAGAAAAATTCTAGCAAATTTTTAGAAGTGTGATTTAATTCAGCAAAACTATGTTTTAAGCTCAACTTAATAACAAAAGAAGCACTTTTTATTGTCCTGCTATTTTTTTTCCTTGCAGTTCTATCAATTTTTGCTTCAGGTATTGAGAAACTCTGTTATTAGGTTCATAAACATTTTAGATTACTGTTTCATCTTGATTTAATAACCCCTTTGTCATTATGGGGGACCTTCTTTATGCCTAGTAACATTCTTTTCTTTGAAATCTACTTTTTCTGATATTAATAGCTACTACAGCTTCTTCTCGATTAATGGTTAACATGTCATATCTTTTTCCGTCCTTTTACTTTTAACTGATTTGTGAAAATAACAATTACCTCTTAAAGATGTTTTTAAAATAGGGGGAAATTATGCTATATTTAGATACATGTTTACCATTTCTGGTGTTCTTCCTTCCGTTGTATAGATCTAGATTTCCATTTGCTATCATTTTCTGTCTACCTGAAATACTTCTAATAGGGCAGGTCTGCTGGTGATGAATTATTTCAGCTTCTATATGTCCGAGAAAGTCTATTTCATTTTCATTTTTGAGAGTTTTTTTTCTGTGAGTATAGAATTCTAGGTTGATGTTTTTTTCTTTTGGTACTTTAAAGATAGTTTTCAGTGTCTTCTGGCCTTCATGGTCTCCAACAAAAAATCTGTTGTCACTCTTATCTTTGTTCCTTTGCGTGTAATATGTCTTTTTTTCTTTGGCCACTTTTAAGATTTCTCTTTATCACTAGTTTTAAGCAATTTGATTATGATGTGCATTCTTGTTTCTTGTGCTTGAGGTTTGTTGAATTTTTTGGATCTGGGTTTATACTTTTCATTAAATTGGGAAAACTTTTGGCTTTCATTTCTTCAAATATATTTTCTGTATCCACCGACCCCTGTTTTGAGGGGACTCCAAGTACATGTGTATTTTGTCATTTGAAGTTGTCCCTGGGCTCACTAGTGCTCTGTTTCATTTTTTTCTCTGTTTTATTTGTATAATTTATATTGCTGTGGTGTCAAGTTCAATAATCTCTCTCTCTCTCTCTTTTTTTTTTGTGATACTGTCCAGTGTTTCATTAACTGCATCCGGTGTATATACCTTTTATCATGACCTTATAGTTTCCATGTCTAGAAATTTTGATTCTTTTTTATATCTTCTGTATCTCTCTTTTCTACCTTCTTGAACATATAGAATATAATTATAATAACTTTTTTCTGGGTCTGTTTCTACTAACTTATTTTTATCTTTATTATGAGTTATATTTTCTGGCTTCTTTGCATGCTGCTAATTTTTTATTATATGCCAGATATTGTGATTTTACCTTGCTACGTACTGGACATTTCTGTATTTCTTTAAATATTCTTGAATTTTGTCCTGGAATAGAGTTAAGTTGCTTAAATACCATGAGATCCTTTTAAGGTCACATTAAGGTTTATTAGTTTAGAGCTCATTTCTCCTCTTACTACTGAGAAAACACTTTTCTTGATGCTCCATGTATTATAACATTTTTCCACACCAAGTAGTGGGACCCAAATAATTTCCATCCCTGTGCAAGCTCCAGGGATTTTTCTGTTCATTTCCGGTGGTTCTTTTCCTAGCCTCTAATAGTTTCTTTACATGCATGTACAGAGCAATACTCGGCTGAAGGCTTCAGATAAACCCTTTAAAGATCTCTAGACCTTTCTTTCTAGAAGGCTGTCTTCTCTCTATACAATCCTCTCCTCTGTAATATTCTGCCCCATAAATTCTAGGCAGCTTGGATTCCTTCACTTCTCAGCTTTCTCCCCTCAACTCAAGGGATGGCCATGCTCTGTTTGGATTTTCTCTCCCCACACTGCAGCCTGGAAACTCGCTCTGTCCTGCGACAATCTTAGGGCTCGTCTTGTCTGTTTGTTTTCTTTCTTTCAGGGACCACGGTCCTGTGCTTCCTGTTGTCCAATGTCTGAACAACATCGTTTCATATGTTTTGTCTTGTGTTTAGGTGTTTAAATGTGGTCCCTGCTACTCTATCATGGCCAGAAATGGAAGTTCCCTTAATAGACAACTTTAAATACCTTCTAGGGCTGACTATAAACTAGATCAATGTGAGAACTATAGGGGGATATTGTTAAACAATAATGGAATATAATAAGATACATAAATCAAAAAGAAATTATAAGAAACATAAACAATTTTTGGTACAAAAGCATGAGGAAGAATTTTAAATAGTGAATCTGTAAGTATAAGATAGTTTACTTTTAAATGCTTCACTCTTTTTTCCTACATCAATGGCTCTGACTGGGCAGAAATCTTATATCCCTCAAAAAGAGCCTATGTTAGTATGACTTAATTCATTTTCCTACCTGGAAGGAATCTCTAGAAACCATGTCACATTAAATTCTGTCTAACAAGGTAATGGCAAAGACAAGGTTTGTGGTGTCCTCAGGCAACTTTGGTCCCAGGCCACCGTCTGCAGATCCTTACATTCATGACTGGCTCTTGATGTAATTGTCTCAATGTTTCCAGATGAGGTAGGGTAATCAGAAGTGATGATAATAGATTTCACTGCCTGATTCACATTTGCTTTACCAAGTAAAAAGCTCCGCTACCCATTTCTAAACTGGGGTCTTCTTAATGATGGAAGACAGATGTCATAAGACTCCTCTGGCACGTAAAACTCCAGATACATGCATTTTACCAGTGTATTTTCAGAAACTATTTCTAAATGATCTTTATTGTCTTTCTCATGTGTTTTGAATTCTTAACAGATTGGCTTTGGATGCTGATTGCTTTAAAAACCAAAGCAAAAGTCATTTTAGTTGCAACAGTTAAATTGGTTCATGGATTTCAATATTAAATAATCTTTGATATATTCTATTTTAGTGATAAACTCAGGCCAACTCTATTCTGTGTTGAATTTCATAATATCTGAAAATCACCTTGTAATATGATCTTTGCTCTGGAAGTTTTATAAAAATGTGGCCCAAAGCTCTACTTTATGGCTGGTGTGTATATATATATATATATATGTATATATAAATGATAAGTTCTACTCTGCTGCTACTGTCTCCACCTGGTTAATAAGTCATATTTCTTATGAGAGTTTACTACACAAGAATTGTGCCTATAAGGAAGTGAGCAGAGAAATACATTATTGTCAAAGGAGAAGAAATGACTGATAATTATGTAAATGGTACCAGAGGGGTTTTTTTTTTTGCTCTGTGTGCCACACATTAAAAGATCTATTAAATTTATAGCCAGTTCTAGCTGGAATTTATTTCATTGGATTGCACAGATGTGCTAATTTGGTCATTTATCTGAACAATAAATGGCTTGTCATTTTTCCCCTTAAGAACAAATGGGAGATGTGTGCTTAAACCTCCCTTTCCCCTTCAGTAGCCTGGAAATCGTTCTCAGGTTAAAGAGTTGGCAAATACCGTGTGTACGAACTTGAAGACAAAAGCCTGAAACAAGCAGGCTGCTGCTGGCAGACGGCAATGACAGCTAGACGCTAGCAAATGGACACGGTCCGAGGCAGGCAGAGAAGTGAACTCTCCCCACATCAAACAGGCTGTGGATGGTGAAATCAGGATGGGTCCTTGAAAAACAAAACGCTGAGGTTTGTTCCTCTGTGTCAGATGTTAAATAAATAAAACAAATGTTGGAAGTCAGGAAAGTAAGCAAGTAATGATTACACCTCCTCCAGTGCCTGCAGCCACTCATCAATCCTCTTGTTGGGGGAGGAACTGGCTAATGCTGTTTCATTTTGACAAAGAGCTTTTCAGCACAGCACATTCTGCAAACACCAGTAATACTGAGATCTCATCTGCAGGGTTCCATTTAACAGCACCATTGCCCTAAAACACACTTCATGACATGGAGTGACTGACTATCTCACAAGGAGAAATCTAGGTAGACACAGGCCAAATTAGTTCTTGTTTTAAATTTTGGATCTGCATTTAGATGAGCAATTGACTCTCTAGAGTTGAGACTCCAGCCTAATTCTATCCTTTCTTTCTTTGGTTTTTATTGTTGTATTTCCAAGTGGGTATCTTATTTCATTTTAAAGCTCTGCATCTTGCTTGGGGTGGCAGAAAGACTGATTTGTGTTCACTAGAACTCTGTGTCCCTGTGAGAGGCTGTGCTTATACCCCGGAATGCAATAAGCTGCTCCCACAATTTTTTACACCTCTATAAGATTCCCTGAATTCCCTGAATTCCTTGGTTGCTTTTTTGTTTATTTTCACAGATAGACTTTTGTTTAAAGGTGGGCTTCCTCTCGGTACCATTTAGTCTCCAAGCTCAAGAAGTAGGTCGAAAACACTAACTTGAACATGTCAACAAAGTCAGACTGGAAACCCTGGCGAAGGGAAATTTAGTAAATGAGAATTAAGTTCTGAGCTGAGGGAAGCTATAGGAAATTAAACTTAGTTTGTTCCATCAGGTTATTATAGACAGGACTTAACGAAGTGAGCCTCAACCCACTGTTTTTTATCTGGGTGTTCATTAGTCATAAATGTTATAGTAAATGCTAATAATTTAATGCACATGCTGTCAGGAAACAAGAAACCAATTATGCCATAAAAAGTAATCTTTGTGAACAGATCAAAATTAGGTTCTTTCCAAACTAGAAATATTTTGAAAATCTGAGACTTATCCCATTTATACTCATTATTCCTTAGCATTTTGGTCCCATCTCTGGGCCCACATTAAACATTTCTCATCTTTACTATCTCCTTGTTTTCCCTGGGAGGAAGTCACTCTCTTTCAACCACCAGTCTACACTTCCACTGACTAGATGCCCAGTAGCACCAGGCACCCTGCTAGCCTCTGAAAACACTGTAACAAAAAGAGCATGTGGACCCTGTCCAAGTGGACATGGTGGACATCAACTCCATCAAAAGTTCTGAAAAACAGGTTTGAAGCAAGTGTAACAATAATGATTAATACACTGCCCAGATGAGAAAAGTGATGCTTGAGCTGGAAATCGTCCAAAGGATGAGAAATTCTCTAGAAGGGAAGGGTGTTCCAGCCAGAGAGGACAGCTGAGTCCTGGACGCAGGAGGCAGGAGGATGCATGGTGTGGTCAGGGAGCTGCTGATGGTTCTGTGTGTCTGTGTGTCTGTGTGTGTGGTGTGCATGTGTGTCTATGTGTGTCTGTGTGTGTGTCTGTGGGGGGGTGCATGGGATGGGAGAGGAAGAGGGGAAAGAAGAAGGAAATGGGAGGTGTGCTGACAAAGGAGACTGGAGCCAAATTGTGACAGTGCCATGCTAAGGAACTTTTCCTGTATTCTTTGGGCCACAGAGAATCACTTTAAATATGACCAGAACTGCACTTTAGAAAGGAAATTCTCCGAAAAGTAGAAACAGAGTGAGAAAGAACCAGTTGACCTGAGGGAGATTTGGCAGGTAGAATTGAGAGGACATCACTGCCAGTTTGGTAAATGCGCCTCTTTTTTTTTTTTTTGATAAAGTTGCAGCAGCCATTTTCCTCCCTATCTTCGATGACGGGAAGGTGCTTTAACCTAGAGGAAGCAAGCATCACCCCTGTTTCAGGGGTTAAACTTGAAAGCCCTGTGCAAAGTCGTGGGAGAATTGCGTTTCCATAGCAGCAGTAACTCGAGAAAGATACTGGACAGATTATGTAAGCGAAATCCTGGGGCACCTGAGTGGAGGGTGACCTCGTTTAGGTAGGCCTGGCCGGAGGAGGTTCAATCACAGAATTCTTGAGTTTCAGTTTGAGAAGCGCACACTGTAATCCTAGCCCTGAAGGTCTTTCATGTGTAATTGGAGCCCCCCCCCAACCGTGAACCTGAACCCTGAGGTCAGCAAGTCTGCAGATGGCTCAGCTGCTTGGCTTTCTTCCAGGCAAATCCCCTTTCAGAAGGGAGTAAATTTAGGGAACGGTGATTCTCTGCTCCACGGAATTTCAAGAGCTGGAAGCATCCTCTTAATAAATGTCTCCCCCCTCAAAAAACCCAATTCTTATAATAAGTAAGGCTATTCTGACCCTCAGATTAAAGATTACCTTTGTCAGTGTATTCCTAACATTTTACTTTTATGATAAATGGAAATATCATTTATATATTTTTTTATCATGTTGGCTACTTGGACTTTTCTAACATTGAGTTGTTTCTTGATTTTTATGGTTCATTTAAGAAAACTGTCACTGGTTGGAATCTTTTGCTTCATTTCTCTTTCCTGAATTTCTTCTCTTCTGCTTTTTCTTCCTGTCCAGAGCAATGACAGTGCTTAGAAGGAGGTATTTGCTTTGCATGTCATTATAACCACCATAAATTTATATCTTAAGTTATTCTAAAAGGAACTAATATATATTCTATTTTTCCTTTAAATGTAATGGTGTCTAGACTGTCTTCTAGAAATACCATACCGAGAAAGAAAAGAAAATCCCTACCCTTGGCTATTTTTTGTTATAGTGAATTCTTTGGCAACTTTTCTCCAAAAATCATTCTTCGTTTTGTTCAGGTACACGCTGAATATCCTCGAAGAAATTGGCGGTGGCCAGAAAGTTAATGATGACATTATTGTCAACTGGGTGAATCAAACATTGAAGGAAGCAGAGAAAAGTTCATCCATCTCTAGTTTCAAGGTAAAATTCTTCTTCTTCTGCTAGAGGCCACCTGAGCTCTGTGCTGGTCTTTATTATTTTCACTGTATGTTAAAGTGACCTTCAATGTTAGGCATTTCGGGCTTCCCCTCCCATTTTGATTTTGCTTAAATGACCCATTATTGTTTTGATGCACATTGGCCATTTCACTGACAAATTTCTCATCACTTTCTCCCATAATAGTTAATTTAAAAAACCCATCATTTTTAAGCATGATTTTAGGCATTGTTCTTTCAAAGTAACATAAAATACGATAATACTTTTTAAATATGCACGCCTCCATGATTCAGATTTTTAACATTATAATGGTGAAATGTAAAATGCTAAAAGATCTCCCATGTGAAGTTTTTTGGGGAAAAAAAAGCAGTTGTGTACTCATATCCAAATCCCATTTTTATTAATAACAGCATTATATTTTATTAAATTTCTTGACTCATGTTTCATTCATTAGCTGGATTCTTCCTCAAGGGACCTGCTTACTTGATCCATATTATAATAACGTCTGTGCCATCTTACCTACGTTTTTCTAGTTTGAAGGTCAGGTTTGAGGGGAGGGACCCCTTCAGAGTTGTATGAACAGGATCGGTGAGGCAGTTCATCATGCTGTCAATCCTCTGTTTCAAAATCAAGAGGAACTTAAAATCCCTTTCCACCAGGAAGAGCAGAAGGTGTGTCTGGGTAGGGTGGTCACAGGAGTGTCCAGCTGCTGGGAGCTCATGACAGATAACGGGCACCTCCAGCCCAACTCCAGCTTCCTTTTCAGTCTGGAGAGCTGCGCAGAGTTAGGACTGGATGCTGGTAGCTGAAGAGAGCAGATTCTTTCATAAAAAGATTGGGAGTTTCTGCATTTCCTCTGGCCTTAATCCTTTTATGCAAGACTCACTCGGAAGCAAGCCCTGAGAGATTGAGGCCTCTCTGCACACGTCTGGGCCTGTCCTTGCTCCTCCTGGAGCGCAGCCCTCTCCCACCTCAGATGCCAGGGAAACGCAGGGATGGACATGGGGAGGGGGCCTGGGTGTCCTAGAGGGTCACCCCCAAACTCGGGAGGGTGGGGTACAGATGCGGCACCTCAGAGATGGCTTAGAGTTGCTGGCCCAGAGTTGGGGCTTCAGGGGCTGCAGCTCAGGCTTGACCCCCTGGCCACCATCTGACCCCCTTCTCTCTCCCTCATCCCCAGGTCAGGGTCCCTGCTGGACTAGGAAGAAGGAGGCTCCTTCCTAGAAGGAAACCTGTGACCCCATGCCCACCTCCCAGCCCTATCCCCTCTAAGAAGAACCAATCATTAACTTTTCAGCTTTAACACCCAGGGCGGGAAATGAGAGTCCTCCAGGCCACCCGAGCCAGGGCAGGAGATGAGATAAGGCCCAGATTATGCTGGTGGTGGATAATATAAAATGCTAATTATAAAGGATATTAAAAAAAAAAAAAAAAAAGAAAGAGATCTGGAAAGGCAGTGAAGAAGAGCGAAGGCAAGAGGAGCTCCGAATAGGGAACACGCTCTTAACATCTTTAGTCTCTCTGTTCTGATGCTTTTTTTTTAAACCATCCCTTCCGCCACTATGCTACCGTATTATTGGTAGTTAAAAGAAACATTTCAACCTTTATGTTTTTCTCCAGTTGTGCTAACTTCCTTCCATTCATTATTTGAGAATGCCACCCTGCTGTTGGCAGACAGTGGGTTTTCTGGGAAGTTACTGGTGCCCCTACAGAAACTACAGTTTATGTGAAACACTATGTGGAATTTGGTGGCATTTCCCAGGGCCAGCTGCATGTATTTCCTACTTAAGAAAGCCACCCACTTCCTTTGAGACGAATGGAGGTGACTTTGGAAGGTGTTGATAAAACTCTCCCTTACTCTCTGTTTAGGACCCGAAGATTAGCACAAGTCTGCCTGTTCTGGATCTCATTGATGCCATCCAGCCAGGCTCCATTAACTACGACCTTCTGAAAACAGAAAACCTGGATGATGAAGAGAAACTCAACAACGCAAAGTAAATAAATAAACCTGAGACCAGGAGGGAAGCACCCACCTGGCCGCTGGATAGTTGTAAAGTCTAATGCCTATGAATTTGTGCAGATACCTTATTTTCACTATTCATGTTTTGTCTTCTCATGACTTATGATAGTCTTATCATCATTATTTTGGATATGGTACCATAGCAGTTTAAGGCTCCTAGTGTTAGAACGGGAGAAAGACAAAAAAAAAATATTCTTACAATTGATAGACAAGCCTATAGTTTCATGAAACCAATTTCCTAATCCTAATCTATAAGAGATTTCCAAAATAAAGTTTGTATATGGCAAGACCCAGATCCAAATACCCCATTCATGAATATTCATGGATAAGAGCATGCAGGGTTAGAGTTCAACACCAATGTCTTCACCAGCTTGAGACCTGCTCCTATGTGCTTTACCACTCAGGTCACCTGCCAAACGATTCGTCTAGAGCAAGGGTCAGCACACTACAGTCTCTGAGCCAGATCTGGCCTGTTATCTGCTTTTCTAAATAAAGTTTTATTAGAACACAGCCCCCATTTTTTACATATTATCTACAGCTGCTTCCCTGCTACAACAGCAGAGTTGTGTAGTTGCAACAAAGCCCACAAAGCCTGAGGTATTTACTCTCTGGGCCTTTGCAGAAAAGTTTACTGATCTCTGCTGTAGAGAGGGGCCTTTCTCAGAGTATGTTGTGTTAGTTTCCTAGGGCTACCATAACAAAGTACCTCACTGACTCGGTGACTTAAAACAATAGAAGTTTATTCTCTCGCAGTTGTGGGAGCTAGAAGTCTGAAACCAAGATGTTGGCAGGATTGATTCCTTCTAAGGGAAACTCTGTCCCATGCCTCTCCCATGTCTGGTGAAGGTCTGCAATCCCTGGCATTCCTTGGCTTATAGATGCAGCACTCTAATCTCTGCCTTCGTCTTCTCATGGCCTTCCTCCCGTGTGGCTGTCTTCCCTCTTCGTGTGTCTCCATGTGTCTTCTCTTCTTATAAGGACATCAGTTATATTGGATTGAGGGCCCACCCTACTGCAGCATGACCTCTTCTTAATAATTACGTCTGTGACAACGCTATTCCTACATAGGGTCACACTGAGGTACTGGGGGTTAGAATTTCAACATACGAATTTGGAAGGGACACAATTCAACCCGTAACACAGGTCTAGAATTGACAAGTATCTAGTGCCCAGCACCCTTACTTTGTAATCCCAACAGGGCTCTTCTCTCTGTTCCCAATTCAGGAAACTGGGGACCTGCGTTCCAGGATGCTGATGTTTAACACAATCTAATGGAGAGAAGTTAACAATTAAACTGTAATTACAATAGAGTGTGCTGGGGGTGTGGAAGGGGGATTCAGGGTGTCCTTGAGGAAACAGGAGGTAGACTGGGCTCTTTGGAGCAAATAACATCCTACTGGATCTAAGCTGAAAGAATAGGTAGGAAGGAAATAGACAGGTGAAAGACAGAAGAAGAAAATTCTAGGCAGGAAAAAGAACACATATGAAGACCCAGAAATTAAAGAAAAAAAATCCTTGAGCCCAGATGTTCAAGGGGGGACATGATGAGGTTTGAGGAACTTGACAATGTCATACCGTTTTTAAATCGTGCAGCTGAGATTCAAAGTCTGACGTCAGAGCCCAGGCTCCTAAGCATTCTCCTGTAGGGGCAAGGGGCAAGATACAAAATTACTTAGAAAAATGGATGAAAGGAATTACACAAAATGCTAAGAAAAGAATGTTTATGTGATGGTGGCAAGATTGTGTGTGATTTTTTTTGAAGCTTCTTTTTGATTTTCAAACAATTTTCCCTCTACGTTTTATGATGGAAAAATTAATTTTACTTCATTAATAATATAGAGGAAGTTATTGACAGGTAGACGAAGACAAAGAATGGGACTTCTGCCTAATGATCTTAATTTAATTTGCTAAATAGAGTAAGAGTAAAGATATTTTGGGAGAACAAGGAGAGAGTGAGGGGGCCTTGGTCGAGTCAAGAATCTCTGCAGTAACTGTAGTTCTTAAGAGGTCACTAGATAATAAATGAGGTGAATAAAAGAGCTGCCAGCTTGTAGTGTGGGCTCATTTGAAAATACATTACAACTAATAAAAATTATCTTCATATAACTATAAATAGAGCAAAAAACGTTCTGACACAGCTATTGTAAGTTTACGTGAAAAATATGGAATGTAAATCTCTGGCCATCTTATAGTACCATAAATAAGTACATGTATATGTGGGCAAGCATTGGAATGGAACGAAGAATGAAAGAATTGATGTGTCAGGTCAAGGCATTATAGATGCATTTTTCCTCTTTTCTGCCTCGAAAAATTGTTTCTCTAGTTGAAATATAATCTGCAAACTTTTCCTAGTACAAATTGTAGTGCAGTTCTATGACTTTTTCTGCCAGGCTACTATATAGCTCAAGACACTACTCGTGGGGTAGACATCCAAGCTGTAGGGAGGTCTCCGAGGGCGAACAGTACATTTGATAAGTATCATGATCTAGGTGACAAGTCCGTTGCTTTGTCAGGAGCTTTTGTTGAGCCGAAATTTGTCCACAGCAGTGTGAGGATACTGGTGACTAGCTCCAACCATTCCAGGAATGAATTCTGACCTCCATGTAGAACAATTGTCACTGTGTTCCTGAGGGGTCCGCGGCATGCTTTGTTGCTCAGGCTCTCCTCATTTTCCCTCTTTTCTCCCTTTTAGGTATGCCATCTCTATGGCCCGAAAAATTGGAGCAAGAGTGTACGCCCTTCCAGAAGACCTGGTCGAAGTGAACCCCAAAATGGTCATGACCGTGTTTGCTTGCCTCATGGGGAAAGGAATGAAGAGAGTGTGAGCCCACGGGGCGGGGTAGGAGGCAGCACGCTCCACGCTGACTGCTGACCACCCAGCACAGGATGCTCCCAGGAAGCATGGGGACAACTCAAGCCATTCCAAAGTTCTGCTTGGTGACATTATGCAAGATTCCAAAAAGCCAGTACTTGTACAGCCAAGTAGCTTCTCCTGTATTTAACAAAAAGTGCTTCATTCTTTGCAGAAGGCCCAATCTCCTACAAATATTTTTTTATTCTTGATGTATTTGCTTCTTTCAAAATCTTGAAAAAAAAGAAGACGTTATTTTCCAGGCACCCTTCCTGCTTTTGCAGTAGGCAAGGATAGAGGAAGTTGCAGTGTTATTAATTTTCACATAATCTTTCAAACCAGTTTAATGTGGCTGCCTTTTTCTTTGGTCAGAGAGGAGGAGGGATCATCAGACTTGCCCTAATACCTGGTACTAGAGGTCGACATTTGACCTATTACAAGACACTCTTTCTGTCCCCTTTTCCTACTCTGTCTCCCCGTGACTTTGATCCTCACCCTCTCAGAAACATGCCTTCTCTGTGGCTCACCTCTTCCAGCCATCCTTGTCTCTGCTACTGGAACATCTGACAAATCGTTCTGGCTGTTGAGGTCCCAAGAGTTTCTGGTAGCCTGTAGATGTAAGCCTCATCATCAGAGCCTTTCCTTAGAACTGGAGTCTCAAATGTCATAAATTTTTGGTTTTGCAGCCAGTAGGAATCCCTGTGTTTTTAACCCTAGAATTTGGGCTCAGACCAGATCTAACATATTCAATACTATGCCCTCAAGGTAGATTCTTAACTCCTGGGAGAGGGTTGGATCCAAGGAGGATGTAATGGAGCATCTGACCACTAGGGGGCATCATGGAGCTATAACTAAGCATCCTTAAGGGTGCTGCCTCTCCATGTATTTAGCCCCTTGTGTTAGATCTAGTTATTGTGAAATGGTTAAATATCTGTTGACATTTGGAAGCAATCCTGCTTTGCTTTCATTTTCTCTTAGATCTTAGCATATCTGATTGCTGTCAGGCCGTATTATCAATGTTTACTTTTTTGGTACTCTAAAAGCTTTTTGCCACCCTCAAGCCCCAGGGAGCAATATGTGCCAATGAAGAGCAGCCCCCCACCCAACCACATACCTGGCCAGATGTCAAGGGTAGAATGAATACATGCTGGATAAGAACTTGCTTTATGAAGAGCTAATTTACTGGGCATTTAAAGAATTCCAAAACAAAACCAGGAGAACAGTATGGATTTGAATAGCTTTCATAGATTAAGCAACTTCCACAAAAACCAACTGAAGGCAAAAAGCAACAGAGCATTGTGAACCAACACTAGACTCCCTCTATCATGGTGGAAGGGTTCATCAATGAGGTATCTTGTTTAAGGGTACTATGTAATGGAACTCAGCCATTTTTCAAAGCAATTGAAATGCATCATCCTGGATCTGTTCCCTGGCAGTGGGCTCAGGAAGCCAATATGCGGCTTCTGCCAGCCCATAACCGGTATTTTTGCTGCTTCTGAATGCAAAGTGGTTGGCTTTGACTTTAGTCTGAACTTAATGTAGCCTCAGATGATTTTTTTCCCCAATCTGCCTTCAAGAAGGAAGTATGTTACTGCCTTAATGAAAAATGAAGAGAATATTATGCTTAAAAGCTTTCCAAATAAAATGTTCTCTATACTGGGTGTCTCTGGATGCTTCGTTTTTGAAAGTTTAATACCAGTATACTATAATTCATTAATTCATTCTGCTAGCTTGCACTGAGTGCCTAACATGGGCTAGGCGCTGTGCAAGGTTTTAGGAATACGCCTATAACTGAGGCAGTCATTGTGCTCAGCTGACGGGGAAAGACAGATGTTACAATGAAAGTGACAGGCCTGATAAATGATGAGGAAGGGCAGAGTGAGACCTGAGCTTATGACAGGAAACACAGTCTGAGGAGAAATAGTGTAGCTGAAAACTGAAGAAGAATTTGCAGTTAGTTAGACAAAGTAGGGAATAAAATTAGGTTGAGACACAAACTCTCAAACATATTGAACCTGTAGGAGCAGAAAGGTGTGATACCTTTCCACCCATCATAAGGGTCACAGATGACACACCTATAACAAAAGACAGGTTGAAAAGAGAAAAGCATAACAAATATATCTAGTCAAAGTTTTATGTGACATGGGAGCCTTCAGAAATGAAAACCCAAAGATGGAGGGAAAAACTGTTCATTTTCATGCTTAGATTTGGTGAATGGACAGAGGTGCAGAAATGTGATTGGACAAAAGGGTATGACTGAAGGTAACAAATGGGGGAAACCCACAAGGCTTGTCTGATGGGACCCTTCGTGGCCTCTCTGTGTAGCATTCCTTCCCCCAGGGATTGGGGCAGGACGCCTCTGGAACAAGAGTCTTGTGATCTACCATCAGAAAAGGTAGGTCGGAGGATTTCTTTGCCGCCAGTTTGCGTGGAAAGGCAGGGGAAAGTTAAATAATTCCAGGTTTTATGGCTTGCTTTGGAGACCAGGGGTTCTAGTTTCTATGACCCACCTTGGGGAAGAGGAATTCTGGTTTCTACAAGTTGCTTTAGGGGAGATCAGTGGTCGGGAGAAGGTTAGAGAGAGAGACGTCACTTCTGAGGTGGTTTCTGAGGCTTTCGGTCTCCTTTAGTTCAAAGTACTCTGCATGCCAAAGCGCCGTACTTTGGGATTTCACTTCCTAAGCCCCGACAAACCCAATCATAAAAGTCAGGCTGAGGGATTCGTGCAAAGCAACTTCTAGAATGAGCTGAGAAGGAATCCTGGGGTTGGCAGTGCCTGGGGTGTCCCGGCCAGCTTGGCTGGGCCCTACTTTGGCAGGGTTGGGGGTGTGTGTAGGGGACATGCTGAGAAATTCCACCGCAGCCAGCTCCCTCTAGGTTGGGCTGCTGTGACAGAGAAGTGGGCCATCGATTTGGCACGATCACACTTTGTCCTGTGGAGGAGCCACACACTCCCACAGTGGCCAGGAAGCTGGGCTTTTGTGGCTAAGCTGTGTGCACTGGCTTCACCAGCAGCCGCTTCTTGGAGGTGGCTCTTTGCTGACCTGAACACTCCGGAAGTTTCTACACTTAGGAGGTAGCTGTCTTCCCTACACTTCAAGAGCCTACAAATGTGTTGTGGATATTTTTTTCCTTTCGGTACTAGACTACATGGATATGTCTCATGAGTAGAAAGAATAGAAAGACTGAAGAGGTACAGGATAGCAGAATAAGTAGAGGAAAGAAAACCATCTTGAAGAAGAGAAGACTAAATGAATACACCAGACTAAGCATGATCATTTTTCTAAATTTAAATTTTTATTATTATATTTTAAATCCAAGTATGGCATAAGAAGTTAAAATTGCATCAAAGGGTCTACAGTAGAAAGTGGGCCACCTTCCCACCCCTGTGCCTAGTGGTGTGTTTTGAAACTAGCTCTTCACAGCTCCCTGGAGCCAACTGAATTTTGTGCACTTATTGTTAAGCCATCGTTAGCTTGATGTTGGTCAGGAAGGGGATATTTATATCACAGAAATTAACAAACTCTACAACTAGGGCTTTTTATCCCAAAAGAACTAGTTTTTCAACCCACCACCACCTCTGTCCCAGTCCCTAAGTTCCTCTCCTAGTCAGCAACCTCTGTTGCCAATTTATTTTGTATCTTTCTAGACATATTCTATGCACATATCACACACACACCTTTTTTATTACAAATATTAGTGTACCATAAACATCATTCTGTATCTCTTTTGTTTCACTTAACACCGTAGTTTGGAGATTGTTCCATATTGGAACATATATTAATAGATCTGTCTCAATCTTTTCAACAGGTGCGTGGTATTCTATCACATAGCTGTGCCAAACTGTATTTAACCAGTGGCCTATAAACGGATATTTAGGTTGTTTCAATTTTTTTCCACAGCTAATAAGGCCACAATAAATGATATTATGCCTACTTCTTGAGCATAGAATGTTAATTTTTAATTCAACAGGTACTTACCAAGTTTCTGCTCTAGCAAAGGTGTTGAACATTGGGTAGTAAAGCATGGATTCCCTTAAGTTTCCTCAAATTTTTCTCAAATTTTCAAAGAACCCTAAGCTGGGACAGGTGCTCGAGTTGACCCCCAGCTTCTCCATTTGATGTCTGAACAGCATGCTGATCCAGCAAGGAGGTAACGTGCATCACACACACACACAAACCATAACAAAAAGCAGAATGTGATAAATTCTATCACAAATTTGTAAATGAAATATTGTGGGAGCTCGGGGGAAAAAATAATTCTGACTGAGGGATCAACAAAAGATTTTGGAAGAGCTCAGCTGCGACAAATGAGAAGTGAGCAGGCATTGTGCCCCACACGTGTTGATATCCTTACAGAGCCAAGCACGTCTAGATTTTCAGAGCTCAGTAACTTTTAAAAAGTTGATATATATGAGTTATAAACAAATGTTTCCTGACTGTAGGGGATGCTGAACAGAGAGAAGTAATTGTGAGAAAAGTTGTTAAATAGACTTACCTGGAGAGTTTTTAGAACAGAATGGATTGCTGTCTGTCTGGAAATTAGGACATTAGGGCCTGTCTGATATGATGCATTGATTAGATAGCCTTTGAAAGTCTCAGCCAACCTGGTGATTTTATTCAACTAGACACACACACACACATACAATCTAATCTGTCGCTTGGGGCACAGTTGTGGTCTGGATTGTAAAGACTGTGTAATCTCTTAGCCCACCTTAGATCAGCCCAGCTCAGACTGATGTTTAATGCATGAGGGGCCTTTCCATGTGCTTCCAGTGTCCCTGGGTTGGCTCCTGGGCCCACCTTCCTTACAGTTACTATACCTGTCGTCACTGACCTCTGTTCTCTTTCCAACCCAGCTTACCAACAGTAAATGCCAATAGGGTTTTCCTGGTGAACTCGACATTGTTCTGCCCAGCATGTCCCTGTCAGCCTCATGACCCAGAAAGCAGAGCTGATGCTCAGGACAAGTCAGCAGTGTTGACCGATCCTCTTGTGAAATCTGGTCACTTTGACAGTTTCCTAATCAAATTCCTGTAATTAAACTCTCAGCTGCCAAAGACGTCTCTTTACTCAGTGTCTTTCTCCCTACTCCGAAAGGCAGACTTTACCACTTGAGCCCGTGAATGAGTGACCAAAAGAAAATAGTGTAGATGTTTTCTCATGCCTAACATCTGCACATATTTAATAGCCCACCTTATGTCAGACACAAAACCATAGATAATCCGGTCGACGTCCATTATCTCACCATCAACAACTTAGACATGGGTCAGAAAACAGCAGTAATTTTTATGCTATCTCGCATGTTGAAATTGGGGAGTTCCATTTAAACATGTATTTTGGTTAATAGAGCAATATCGTATCATTTTTGGAAACCTTTAGAGAATGAGAATGCAAGCAAATATTTAATTCTAAAGCTATGTGTAATCTAACACAAAACTTGATTCAGCAGGCATTTCTGGATTCAGTTCCACCATGGGCCCACCGTTATGAGTCCCAAACATTCAACCTTTCTCGCTCTAAGAGTGGTACTCGGATCGGGGGCACCAGGAGCTGGTTAGATATGCAGAATCTCAGACCCCACCCAGACCTGCTGTCTCAGAATCTATGTTTTAATAATATCCCCAGTTGATTCATGTGCACATGGAAGTTTGAGAAACACTGTCCTAGAAGAATGGAGGTCTCCTTGAAAGATCTTCAGTTGATAGGAAGCTAAATTAGCCAGTTTTAAATTCAATTACACTTTCTTGGTTACACTGGACTTGAGAGATTAATGTAACTTTCCACTCAACGTTTTCCCATGATCAGTAATCACTGGAGGTAGCCAGGGTGGCTCTTCCCTCTATTCGGGTGCATCCTGCACCACACAGCTTTGCACTTTGGTGTCCTCATTCCCCTTGTGGCACACACTCTTCAGCACAGGTCCAATAAGCTGCATCTTCTGGTTCTGCTGGGCACATTTAAGGTGTCTCCTGGCTCAACCTTCTCTTGCTGGCGTCCCAGGGCTGCCCCTTCAGTGGATCTGATCCCGTCGTTCAAGTCTTCTCTGCTTATCCCTCCACTGTCTACATGAAACCTACTGGCTTTTCTCGTACCGTCTCTGGAGCAATCTCTCTATGACTTCCTATGACAGACAGGGAACTTAGCAAACTATTCTGTCCCGAGGCCCTCCAGTGCCTATTTTTTTCTCCCAACAAACATGTACTTGGCAATGACTTTCTGGGGTTCTAACTTCATCATTGCTACCTTTGCTAAATGCCTAACGCCAAAGAGAGAGAAGAAAGTGTTTTCCAAGTATGGTGACTATAATATGTAAGAGTGCTTAGGATGGAAGATGCTTGATACCTTTGAGGAGCTAAAGACCAGGCCAGCTGATGGGGAGCACGAACTGCCATATCATAAGGAAAAGGTGGGCTAGCAAAAGGCTGAGGAGTGATTCTCAGACTTCAGGGTCCTTAAGAATCACCTGGAGAGCTTGTTAAAACACACTTTCCAAATCCCACCTTGAGACTCAATGCCTGGAGGGCTGGTGGACCCAGGAATCTGCATTTCCACAAACATCCTAGGAGACTCTGCAGCCTGTGACTCACAGACCACACTTGGAGAAGGACTGGTCCAGATCAGCTGTTCTCAACGCTGCATGTTGGAACCATCTCA